GGAAAACTCAGAATATTATTAAGGCAAGTCAGAAATAACATTAATCAAATAGGTCTGGGAACAACTAAGGCAAGTAGCCATAGACAGAATCAGTAAGAGAAGCAAAATAAGAAACCCTAATTTTAAGGATAAGTACAGTTAATTGGAATAATCAAAGGGAAATCAAAATGATACGTACATAGACAGATATAGGAAACGTTGAAGAAAAATGTTAATAAAAAAAATAAGAACCCTTAACATATCTGAGCCCTAATTTAGGCAAAATAGTATCACGAAAATAGAAGGCAGATATATGGGAAGGTTAAGATACCCAACCAAAATAGGACCAAAACAGATCTTAGCGAGATATGATCCCTAATTTTAGGGCAAAATAAATTAGGCAAGGTTTTTTAACGAAAAATCACAAAACAGACATACGAGAACATAAAAAAGGTTTTTTAAACAAAAATAATAAAAAAATATAAACAGATCTGTAAAAGATCTAAACCCTAATATTTAGGGTAAATGAGAACAAAGAAAATCTCAGAGATTCGTACATGGAGAGAGGGAAGACGAACACATATGAGAAATGGGGAGGATTCGAACTAGATTTGGTCCGAAAATGGAGAGATTAGCTTGCCATTTTAGGCAAGCTACTAAACAATACCATAATCGAGTAGCCAGTAGTGAGATACGATCGATAAGGTAAGAAAATCGTCAAGGGATTCCATATCCGATTGGAATCGAAGAAAGATTATGGGTGACGACACCTAGGGTTTCAGATGAGGAGAATAAGAGAGTGTTCAGGGGCGGCGGGGTTTAAGGAACGAGGGATTAGGGTAGAAAGGAAGGATATAAGGGAAGGGGGCATTTAATTGTGGGTCGTTAATCAATTTTGATCAACGGTCAGGATTTAGGCGGATTGAGGTTGGGTTTAATGAATGAGTATGGTTAATTGGGTTATTTGATTTGGGCTGGCAGAATGGGTTAGGCATTTTAGGTGTTGGGCTGAGTAATTTGGGCTGGTTTGGGTAGCCTAGGTCCGAAAAATAGGAATTTAGGGCTATTAGTTAAATACCCATTTTTAATTAATAAAATAATTTGTAAAAATAATAAATAAAATAGTAAAAATATTATTTGTACATAAAAATAGTTAATAATAATTATTTATTACTATTAAAATATAAAAGTTATTTTTCTTTTGCAAAAATAAAGTAACCATAAGTATATAGGGGCTATTATTGCAAAATATACAATTTAGCCTAAAGATGCAAATATAATTATAATAAATGCGTCAAAAATATTTAAGGCTTAATATGGATATAAGTGATGAAGTTAGATGATAAAATCATCATAAAAATAATTTGTAATGCAATTAATGATTATTTATACAATAACATATGGGAAAAATTGATTAAAAAATCTTTAAAAATTATGAAAAAATAGGAAAAATACTTGATGATGCTCATGCACTATTTTGAAAGTATATATGCATATTTGAAATATATGAGGGAAAAATTTGGTATCAACAATACTTGCTGGGTACCGCTGTGGTGTGCTCATACTACGCTTCTACATAATTTTTGTGCAGATCCAGGTATTTCGAAGTGAGTCGATCGTTAACCAGATGTGCGAATTTCTGCTGTGGAGACTCAAGGTAAACTTGTTGCTGCGTTCACAGGTTTCGGAGTCACCTTCTGATGTTATTTTTTTACATTGTTTATCCTTACTTCAGAACAATTGTATTTAGAGGTTTCTAGCAAAAACTTTGTAGAGCTTATGACTTGTACTACCGGCTTTGGGATTGTAAACTTTGTGTCGAGATTTTTCTTCACATTGTCAATCGTTATTTATTATTGTTATTATTTCACTAAATATTAGGCTTATCTAGTCCTAAAGACTAGGTGCCATCACGACATCCTACCGAGGGAAATTTGGATCATGACAAAATCACGAACTTGCAAGATAAATTAACTTTTTAGCTTCAATGATATGATTTTGTGTCGTACGTAGTGGTGTAGTCGGAAATCTCACCAATGGTGTTTAAACTTTAAGAAAGTTAATAAATTTTTTTGTCGATGAATAGTGTACCAAAATTTTTAAAATCAATCTAAGCAACATTTAATTAAATAATAAAAATACTTGTACTCTAACTATAATTTATAAATTAAAATTAACATAAAAAGACAACAATAGAAAATTTACTAATAAAAAAAGCATAAAATTAAAGGAAAGAAAGAGGCGAGAGGGTTTGTAGGTTGTACTTTATAGAGAGCTTTTGTTGAAGAAATTTTTGCAGAGCTTGAATTTTGAATTGTAATTTATTTTAAAAATAACTTTTAATTAGAAAACTACTTTTAAGATTAGTTATTTGTCTTTATATAAATTTAAGTTCTAAGAATTATTTTATCTAAAAATAACTAGATTAAAAAAGAATCAAATAGATCATACACGTGGTGGCCTCCGTTTAATTTTGGCAAACAAAATGTGCAAATAACTGTGAACCCGTGAACAACATATCATTGTGAACATCCAGGATCGTTGGACTACCTCACTCAACTATGTTAAGGGTGTTCAAAATATAATATATAGTCATATAAAGTAGTATTTGACTTATATACAATGTGATTTTTCAGCGAAGGGTGGTCACTTGGCCACCCTTAGCATAATGTGGCTACGCCACTGGTCGTACGTTACTTGTAGTTCATGTTTACCAAAATACTAATAGGACAAGAAGAATAAACTTAAATACATGCCATCGAACCGCTTAAATTAAAAATAATTGAATGATGTATAATATAATGTATCATTCATATACTATTCCTTATGTCCCAATTTATGTGATATTCTTTTCTTGTTAATCAGTCCCAAAAGAAATGACACTTTTCTATATTTAGTAACAATCCAGCATTAAACTTTCTTCTTTAGCCGTAGTGAAATAATTTATAGTCATACTAATTCTATGATTTGTTTTAGACCACATGTTTCAAAAGTCTTCGTTTATTTCTGAAACACGTGCCCAGTCAAATACCTTCATATAAATTGGGATGGAGAGAATATGGGTGTAACCATAAATAATTAGTATAAAATCCATGTATACCGGTTAAAAAATAAATAGTAAATCGACCGACTATTTCTATAAAGATCCCATAGGATGAACACATATTGGTAGAAATGACACTAGGTAGCCACTCTAAAGGGCTGCTATTTAGGAATTGGCCAGTGCATCCTGAATTTCAATTTTTCAATTTATTTTTTTAGGACAAAAATATCCCGACTTGTCCTGAAGTTAAGAATTTTAATTTAAAATTTCAGGACAAAATAAATATTGGCTAGTCTTTAAATAGCATCCCGAGAATGATTATGTATGCACTTGCCCCTACTAATTGCTAGCAAAACTGGACTACCAGCCCGACCCAACAAGTTTTTTTTTTTAATTATATGGATCAGGTAATTTTTTGAAAAAATGGCATGGTATACCAACACATAAGGAGAATTGGCAATTTTTTGGCCTTATATTAGATTTGGCAATAGTAGCCCAAAAAAATTGGCAACCAATAACCAAAGTTATTTTCCTTCAAAATAGCAATAAGAACCGCTCTCTCTCTCTTCTCTCCTTTACTTCGTTGTGTATCATGTAAGGCAACCGTTTTTCCACTATGCATTCTGTATCCTCTCCCATAAATGGTGCCTTATTCTCTTTAGTTTTCTTTATTAAAGAATCTATCTTCTCTTCTCTCTTCTAATTGGTTGCAACCATCCTCCTAAAAATTATGTTTTATTTCCTTTTAAAAGTATCTAAAAATTTCCAGAATCTCTTTATATCCCTTTTCTGATTTTTTATTTTTCTTCTTCACTGTAGCAATGTATATAAGTTTGGAGCAATTTCTAAGACATAAAAATAATAAATATAATTGTGGGAGTAAATAAATATTTGATATACAAAGATGGAAAATAATTTTTTGATATACACAAAGAAGGAAAATAAATTTATGATATATATATTTGGTATACACATTATTTGATATGTTATACAATGTGATATACAAATAATATAATTTTTTTTATTATGATATACATTAGTATTGACATAACAAAAAAAATTTGAATAACTATATTTATAAATTCATAGTTTGGATATACAAAGAAGGCAAATCAAATTTTATATTTATTTTGATATACACAAAGAGCGACAATAAAATTGTGAATACATTTCGCAAATAATCACCAATACGTATTTTGGCTGTTATATATCAGTGTATATCACACAAGATTTTCATTGATATACATAGACATATATATTACATTGCATGTTAGTGTATATCACACAATATTTTTATTGATATACATAGACATGTATATAAATATGCATGATATACATGAAATAAACATATATACAAACTGATATATCAGTTGATATACACTGAGATCTGCATTCACTCAAATTTGATAGTTCAAAAAACTTGGAATGTGTATAATCACTCAAATTCATTCCTCTTTCGATTCAAAACAGAAATATTTCTTTTCTAGACAATTTTTTTGTGCAAATTTGTAGAAAGTTGGCCTGATTTCGTCCATTAATGCTAAGTGAGAATGAAAAAAAAAAACTTGCGATAACTTCGAAAACATGCGAGAATTCAGTTTCATGATTGATTCATTCTTTTGGGCATTTATTTATGCCAATTGCTCTAAAATATTCTGGTGTCAAGAGAGAGAACGAGGAAATATAGAGAAGATAGAGAGATAGAGAGATAGAGGGAGAGTAATTTACGGGAAGAAGCTCTAACCTAGTTTATTATACAAAATTATTTTTTTAAATTAAAACACAGATGTAGGCCATAAGATGCCAATAACAATAAGTTGGGCTTTTTTATGCCATTTATTAGTTTAGGTTGACATACAATGCCAAAACCCCTAATTTTTTTTATTTTTTTGGATCAGGTAATTGGACTTCCTTGTTTGGACCATTTGATAAGTCCACACTTAAAAAATAAATGAACGGTTAGATCTACGTGACAACGTTCGCACAAAAAATTGGGAACACCTGATTCTGTAGACTTGTCACTCACGTTGTGAGGGTTTATGTAAAGCAAAAATGCAAAGGGTTTTGAAGGCTCGCCAGCTCGTTAGGGCTTTGAGAAACTCGTCGTCTCCGATTCTGCTCAACTCAGTGTCACGAATTCAATCTCATTGTACCTATGAAGCTACTGAATCATGTCTCAACTCTTCTTCATGGCGTGGTTACTTTACCTCTGGTAATATTCTTTTTTTATTTGAGTAAGAGGATGTTTTCTTCTGGATTTTACTAGGTCAAAATTTGTGAAATGTGCAATTTGATCTGTAGAAAGTATGATTGCTATTTGAAGATTTTTCTAATTAATAAATTTTCAACTTAGACAAGTCTATACCTGAATGCTATAGTAAAGTTGCTGTTGTTTTCCGGCTAAATGACAGATTTGATTGTATATTATGGATAAACAGGTACTACAATTAATGGAAATTATATGCAAACAGAATGCAATATTCGGAGAAATGTATGTCAATGTGAGAAATGCTCTAGGATGCTCAAGGCATCATTTTCTACAGAAGCAGGGGCAGTTGAAAGCAGTAGTGCGACAGGTGATAGTTTGTTTTCGTGCATGGTTTTGATTTTTATATTTATTTCTGAATCGTTGTTTTAAAGCAGAGTCCGTGAAGGAATTGTATGATAAGATGCTGAAATCTGTCGTGGAACAAAGATCTGCTCCGCCAAATGCCTGGTTGTGGTCCCTAATACAAAGTTGTGCGAACCATGAAGATGTTAATCTTTTACACGACATTTTGCAGAGACTTCGGATATTTGTTAGTCTCTTTTATCTCGTTGAATTAATAGGAGGTCCTTGTTAATTTGCTCGTCTAACACGTGGTGTATGTTTGAGGGCAGAGACTTTCAAATCTCCGTATCCATGAAAACTTCAACTGTGCCCTCTGCCAGGACATTACAAAGGCGTGTGTACGTGTTGGCGCCATTGACTTGGGTAAATTTCTGAGTTCTCTTGGCTATTCTTCAGCATTTAAGCTTAGTTGCTTGTTCCCATCATTTGTAGTGCAAACTTGTTAGTATCAATAAGGAAGCTAGACTTTCTGACTAAAAGCAGAAGTGCATCTCATCACGTTGCTTTGACTCTGTACACTTGTTCATCCAAGCTAAGTAAAATTAATTTTGTAAAAATTCTAGTTAAAATCTCCATTATTCTCCTGAGTGCAAACTCCCAAGTAGGAATATACTTGAAATATTTGAGTTTTTAAGAAATTTTTGTGGTTACAAACTTTTAAAAGGGAAAGATTGACCATCTTAGGATTGGGACTCTTGCTGGGATGACATGCCGGATATGCTTTTGGTCGTCTTTATGGATTTTCTAATGTGTAAGTTAAAGCTTTCGAAAAGACGAATAACTTGAGTAGGTCAATAAATGAGATGAAAGAAAAATTACAAATATTATATGCAATTGATTTCTTTCAGTGGTATCTGAATGGATTGATGGATTGTTAAGCTGAATCTTCAAGCATTTCTGCTTACTAAGAGCTTGTTGAGAGTGTTAAAGCTTCACCTTGTATACAGGTAAGAAGGTGTTGTGGAAGCATAATGTGTACGGATTGACTCCTAATATTGGATCTGCTCACCATTTACTGGTAATTTGGAGTTCTACTTTGGCTTCAAGATGTATGATATGTGTGTGATTACTAAGCCATGTAAAACTTGGTGTTCTATGACTGCAGTTGTTTGCTAAACAGCATAACGATGTTAAACTCTTGGTAGAAATTATGAGACTGGTGAAGAAGAATGATTTGAACCTGCAGCCTGGAACTGCAGAAATTGTCTTCAGGTACAGATCCAGTATAAACTCTTACCCAATATCTCTTCCCTCTTTTATTTTTATTTTTATTCTCTCTTGTCTAACTAAATTTGTGGCGATCCTATTGCTCTTTACCAGCCTGACATTTCTATATTTCTGTAATATGAGGATCGTAATATCCGTGAAATTTTCAGTGTTCATTTCTTTTACTGACAATAGACATAATTAATCGTGCTTTGAGCACTGTTGCTGGGAAGTAGGAACCGTTAGGAAGAATAGGGGATTTTCTACTACTTCTGAAAAGAAGATTGATAACTATTTGAGTTGGTGAGCTTTTCAAGCTTGCTTTCTCAATTCTAATGGTCTATTTATTAAACTTAATTCTTCTGTGACTTCTATAGTTTTATACATTTATACTTTTATCTTGAGGTCAAGACCAATTTCGAGAATTGCACATTACATTGCATTTTGTTCCAGCTGGATTGCACCCATTGTCACCTCATGGAGCGATAAAGACAAAAGGACCTGCTCCAGTTCAATAAAAATCATGAGAACACAATTGAGTAGTAATGTGCTTTTTGAGATCAAGTTGGGTAGCCCTTCCTTAATTTTTGGATACTTCAGGCTAGGGCCCTAACTTACATCCTAGAGGTTTGTGCCGATAGGATGATAGACTTACAAATTGTTGCTGAGCATGAGATATTAGTAGATTTGGTCTTATACGAGGACCATGTGGTAACCGGCTTGTGGTATGCCAGGGGATGTATCACATTGGATTTTTTTTAATAGCTACATTAAAGTAATGCTTTGCAAAGAAGGTTGCATTTCTATTGAGATACTAATTGGTGTTCTTAAGTGATTTTATTTTGGTCTTCAGTGATGAAAGATGAACCTTATACATACAGGCATGCAGATGCTTTCCTCTGCTAGTTTTGATCAATAGCAGCATGTACGTTGGGCAATTAAAGAGTAATTGCCTTTTAATGACGTCGTGGTATAATTTAATTTTCTGCTGATTTTTTTTTGATTTGTTAATTTTCTTCTGAAATTTTGTAGATATTTTTCAGTTCTTGTATAAATTTTATCGGCCTATAGTCATGTAGATACTGTACTTATTTTGAAGAGGCATGTCTGCAAATTGCCACTTAGCTATGCTAGTTTTAACATAATAATATGTATCTTAATGCAAGTAACAGCAATTATCTTTATTATTTATTGTTATATCTTGGCTGAACTACAATCTGTTGCTTCCTTATACACTTCATTCTTTCTAAAAAGATCTTTTAACTTGTTGGATTGATTTACTGCAGCATTTGCTCCCAAACTGATAACTGGGACTTGATGTGTAAGTATGGTAAAAGGTTTGTCAAAGCAGGAGTGAAGCTACGAAAGATTTCCTTGGAGACTTGGATGGAATTTGCATCAAAAATCGGTACTTACTCTCCTTTTCTCCTATAAACTTTAAAAGATTTTGAACTTCATATCACAATCCTCTCTTTTTATGCATGAGTGCGGTGGTGGGTGGTGTTAAGTTTTTAAAATTGCACCAAGTAATAGGGCGAATTTATTAGTGGCTTTCAGTTATGGGATTATAGTTTCCTAATGAACACTAAAGCTTACTGCTGTGGCTTTGACACTCTGTTGTTACTGCATCTTTGCTTCACCAAAGGAGACGTGGATGCTTTGTGGAAAATTGAGAAGATACGATCAGAATCCATGAAGGAACATACTCTTGCAAGTGGACTTTCATGTGCTAAGGTAATTCAGTTTCTTAGTTTTGATTTATTTTACATTTCCTTTACCTGCCTCTCTTTCTTGTTTCAGCACAGAAATGAATGACCTAAAAGGGGATCACAATTTGTATCATATATCCAATTGGAGAAGTGTTCAAAAAAATGTTTGACGCCTTGATAGAGTAGACTTGTTGACACATCTTTTGGTGCTGTCTTGCATTTAACACCACTGTCATTTACCTGTCGAAAGAACGTGCATTTGGATTGCTCTGCATAGTTACACCTCCACTTTCCCATCAGCTCATATTCAACTGAAATAGGCAGCCATAGCTATGTAACGACCCTTACTGATATAAGGGCAAGCTATCAAGTTCAACACATGGTTGATATATAGTGCTAGGCAAGTCTTTCCCCACAGTGACCCAGTAGTTTTTGACAGTCTTAGAGCAGCCTGGATAATGGTAGAATGCAGCATCATTGTTATGAAAGCTGATGGGGGAACTCCTTTAACATTGGTTGTAAAATCGACTAGCTGATTGGTTTCTATTTCTTAATGAAGATTATGAAACTCATGTCTCCTCAGCTTTCTAGTTGCTTACAAGTTGCAAGTGCACCTACTATTTAACATCTTCTTCTTTCGGCAAATGTATATCCAAGCACTGAAGAGGGACAGATGTGCTCTCACAATTGTTTCCTTTTTTGTCGATATTAACAAATTTTGATTTCGTTTGTAGGCTTTCCTAATTAATCACAAACCTGGAGATGCTGCTGCCATCATTCAATTACTCAATCAGGTGCCTGCCAGTTTTTGCTTGTTTTAAAGTTTTGGAGTTTTTATTTTATTGTTCTATGGAGAGGGTGCCATCAAGCATGGCATAGCTTGTGCAATGGTTAGGATATTAGGTTAGAACCGGAGCTTTGCAAATAGTCTGCTCTTAGACAACTACAATGGATGTGCTAAAAAAATTGTTCATCATATTGATTAATGGATGATGTGCGCTACTGACTTCAGCTATTTGATAAAACTGTAAATTCATTGTAAACCCCCAATAATAATGTATAAACACCCCAAAAAAATTCCTTCCCTTTTTGGATAGTTGATCATGTATCCCCCTTGGAATAGGCTTTTAATATCGGTGACCATCTCAATTATCGGCAGCATCAAATGTTGATTTCTTTTTTTTTTTTTCCCCAACTCAAATTTTGATTTCTTGAATGTTCATAAACTGACTGACTGATAAGTTAATCATGTGGTATGCACCTGATGTCAGAAAGCAAATAATCCAATTCTATATGACTTGTCAGGTATTAATTTCTTTACAGTTCATCCAATCTTCTTTACTATTCTGGTCTTCCAAACATTTTTTTTTGGGGGGGGGGGGGGTCT